TTTTCCTGGTTTTCTCAGGACAGTCTCGTGGGGCCTCAGTGTCGATGTGCATTGCGCTGCACCCAGGCTCCCACCTATCCTCCTCGGAGAGCAACACGCCAACTGTGTCAGCCTGCTGCGGAGGGACGCGGGTCCCCATCAGCAGATTTCCCCAAAACGGCAGCATTCGCTCCAAGTAGTAGAATTCTTCCACTTTAACCATTTCTTATAGAAACAGTCCCGGAATGTTTTGCATCTTTCTTCCTGCCTGACACAGAACGTGTGGGGTGTCGTGTGAGCTTTTTCCCGGTGACGATGAGGAGGCAGTGTGGCTGGCAGGGACCTCCATTCCCAAGGTGACATTCTTGCCTCTCCTGACCCCGGGCCTGCCCCCAAGTGCTCCCAGCAGGGTGGGTGTGCCTGCTGAGCTGCGGGTCCACCGCACGCGCTGCTTCTAGGTAAGTTGGGGTGCGTGCTGCCTTTTTTGAGGCTCCTGCAGACAGCTGACTCAGAATCTGTGGTTGTCCCCAAGCTCCTTCAGATGAGTGGGTGTCGGAGCTGCCCTTGCTTGTTGTTTGTCACTTGAAATCCAAGCGATGTGATGCCTCCTCAACATGCACTGTCTTCAAGTGAGGTTGCACGTAGGGGTACATGACTGGTCTCCTGGGGCTGCTGTAACAAAGCTCCACAGACTGCAGGGCTGGAGACAACAGACACTTCTGTCTCACGGCCCTGGAGGCAGGAGTCCGAGGTGAAGGCACCACGGAAGGGTGGGTCACAGGCCTCCCTGAAGCTCTGGCGGCCTGAGGCGAGGAGTGGCTCACATCGCCAAGGCCCCTGTCTTCCTGCGGCCTTCTCCCCACGTCTCTTCACATCGTCTGTCATCTGTGTGTGTTTGTCCTCGTTTCCCCTTTTCATTAAGGACGCCAGTTGCATTGGATTAGGGCCCACCCTAATGAATTCATCTCAACTTGGTCCAATTTGCAAAGACCCTATTTCCAAATAAGGCCCCATTCTGAGATGTTGGGAGTTAGGACTTGAACATGTCTTCTTTCAGGGAAAGACACAGTTTAACGCATAACATCGGTGAAGACCCCTGGATCCCCAGAGAACCTGGCCCCAGGCGGGTGGACTTGGCCCTCCCGTTAGAAGCAGGAGCTGCTGTGATGCAGAAGGGAAGTTGCCCCCTGCTGCCTCCTCCTCGCTTCAGGGTGAGCTGAGGGCCTCAGACTGCGGTGTCTGATGTTCTTAACTGACAACCAAGTGCTGATTCAGGTGCTGCATTTAAAACCATAAGCTCTTTTAAGTTAAAAATTGGTTTTATAATGCCTTGTACCTCAGCGTTTGACAACCAACTTCCCTCCCTTCCTTCCTTTTATTCTTTCCTTTCTTCCTTCATAAATATCTTGTGAATACCTCTTATGGGGAAGGATTGGGGTAACTAAGATGAAACAGAAACAGTGTCCCAATAGAGCTTTGAGTCCCCAGAGGCATAGATTAGATCTCCCTGGTGAGCTGGTGGATTTCGATGGCTCCTGTTGGGGCAGAAACCTATTTTGCACACCAGGGGCCTCCAATGCACAGCGTAATTTTGGGCACACAGTAAGTGCTCAGTAACATTCTTCCAATGTTTTTAAATGAATGATTGAATAATTACAAACACCTATCTGTGAATCTTATGAAACACAATGATTTCACTTACAAGAAACCTTGGGAAAAGGCTTTCCATGTGCCTCAAAGCCTGTTTCTCATCTTGGTAAGATATCGTGAGGTGCAGAGTCTCCTTCCTTTTGGATACGTGAAACTTCAAAATGGTCTTTCAAGTGATTTGCTGGCATGCTGACCTTTCTTCAGATGGCGTCTGCAGCTGGCCGGATGTTTGAGGGAGACATGAAGAGCGGCATGTGATGAGATGGGAGCCTGCAAGTCGAACTGGCCCAGTGAGTTGGCTGGGGGGGTGGGGTGTGTATCGATTAAATGCAGACTCGCACACCTCTCGAGGCTGGCAAGGGCCAGGCCAGAGGACGCAGTTCATTAGGACGGAAACTGACTCATGGGGATCGTGTCACGTTGCTGTTCATACTCACCCGGCCCTAGTTGGGTCTTTGCAGCTGAAGTGATTGACGTGGAACCAGAGGAGAGGGGGATGCCAACTGTGCAAATTGGCATGGGCCAGTAGGCCCCTGGGCATGAAAGAAAATTAGGATGGGTCTGAACGCGGTTGATGGCAAATGAGACAGAATTTGAAAGGCAGCAAAAGACATCACATGTCAAAGCCAGCTGCATTTCTCCTTGAGAAGATGGAGATTCCAAGGCATAAATGTGCATATGAAAAGGGAAAGCAGGCAGAAGGGTCCAGCTGACGGCTCTATGATGTTCACTGAATGAGCCTGGGGTGCTGGGCACCGGGTCAGAGAGGCAGGAGGTGTGGACGGCCCAGTGCAAATCCAACCCCGCTACTGGGAAAAACAATCCCCAATCCTGTGACATTCACTGACATGCAGCTTTTGCATGCAACGATGCAATGATCCGGGCATGGAGAGCAGATCAGTGTTGTTGTTTGATCAAACCCTGCCGCCAAAACTCATCCACTTCACGTGGAGGAAGGCCCCCCAGATCTTCACGCGATCCTTCACTTTATGGATGATTCTAACAAGTTATTTAGTTTCTCATGCACAGCAGATTGGAGGTCACACATTGGAAGGGACCAACGGCTGCTGGCTGTCCTACAGGAGGCTCTCAGTGGCTGACAAACAAGGAGTGGGTTCATTTATTCCACATTCTTTCAACAAGCACTTGTTACATATTAGCAGCCAGAGCCTGTGGCTGTGCACCAGGATCGGAGGATAAGCAAAAGGAGATGGTCCCCCGAGGGGGCTGCACCTGCTGGAAGGACATCAGTCGGGTGATCTCCAACTCACATGGCTCACACGGCCACCGTGACCAGTGCTCTGCAGCCTGTGAGCACAGGGGAGGGCTGACGGGACGAGGAGAGTCAGCAAATGACACTTTGGCTTAGGTCAGAAGGATGATTAGGAATAAACTATATAATTTTAAATTAAAAACTTGCCTGAGAGGAGACAGAAAAAATACAAAGAGCTAGGTTGTAAGGAGAAAATTACTTCCGTAGACTCACTTATGTGGAAACTTAACTTTACCTTCCTGTCTTCTCCACGTTCCTGAACTCGAGACTGTGTAGATCACGCAGCAACAGAACCCGTGGAGAACAAGTAAGGAGCATGTTTATGCATTCGTTAGACAAAGTCTCTAATAAATGGAAATAGTAACGAAAGCCACTTTTCATGTTATGCTACTGTTTTGTCCTGGACATTACAAACCAGGACCGGAGCCACCACACCTAGGGCGCTATCTCAGCATGTTCATTCTTTACAGAGAAAACGGGGGAAGAAAGGAAACTGACATTCATCGAGAGCTTACGTTGTGCCAGGCACGATTACGTGTTTTTACCAATGTTAAGGTAAGAAATTCTTCAGGTGTGAAACTGTGGAAGATTTATAGAGAACATCCATAGAGCAACCAGGTTTGGTATTGGCACTTGGATCTATTTCATGCACCTTTTTCTTATCTTTCTTTGCATATTTTGACTGCATTCAGGGATCAATATGAAATCCCTCTCATGGTTAACTTACTGCTCATAAACCCACCTACCTCCAAGAATAAATAAGATGGCAGATTAGTGGGGAGTAGGCAAACTTCTTATTGCCTATGTTGAGACTGAATTTTAATCTTATTAGTATTTTACAATATTAATACTTAAGGTGGGGATAGTGCCAGACCACCAAATGACTTGATTATATCTACTTCGTCTTTAGACAAATCTGCCAGAAACATTCCTTATGTAAGAAATCACACGTGACTTCTAAGAACATTCCTTATGTGCGAGATCACAGGTGACTTCTGAAATTAGCTAAACCGAACACCCTTGAGTCCATCCTGAGTTCCTATTTACACAGCCTTGCTCATGCAGTTGAAAAGTGAACAAAGCCATCTCTTGTAAATTACATACCTTATCTTTAATGAAACGGTGTAACTCAATTCCTGGCTCAAAGACCAGAAAAATTCCAGGAAATGTTTAACTCCCAAAACTTCTTCTAAAACATGAATTTAGACTAGTTCCGAGAAGACATTTCTATGTCAGATGCACATAAACTGGATTAATCTCAGGCAAATCTTTGAGTCTCTATATTGAGGGAAATGTCTGTGTCGTCAGCTCTCCCAGTTTTTCCATACACGGATGAAGTTGTATTTTTTTTTAAACAGTTGTATTTTATTTTTTTATTTTATTTTATTTTTATTTTTTTTAAAAGATGACCGGTAAGGGGATCTTAACCCTTGACTTGGTGTTGTCAGCACCACGCTCAGCCAGTGAGCAAACCAGCCATCCCTATATAGGATCCGAACCTGGGGCCTTGGTGTTATCAGCACCGCACTCTCCCGAGTGAGCCACGGGCCGGCCCTAAACAGTTGTATTTTAAATGCAGTAGAAACCCGTTGGTTTGCATCTGTATTAAAAAATGTATTGGGCTGTGTACAAGAAGGTAAGGCCTTTCTCTACTAGTATTGAAATTTTTTTCCAATTAAACAGAAATTTTAAAAGTTGTGTTAAACATGGTATGAATGTTTTGGGAGCTCAAGGCATCTTTATTGGAAATATTCCCAGCAGGGGCTCATCCTATCCGAGATAATCCACAGCCACAGGGGCTGGCATGCCAGTGCTGGCTGCAGCGCGGTGCCCTGGTGGCGGGCTAGGCCGTGTCCTGCATGGAAGCAGAGCACCAGCAGGGGGAGGGGATGCACAGCAGGTTCAATGCAACTTTTATCACGTTTAACTTTCCCTCATGAGGAAAACCTACTCAAATGATCCACCCCAGTGGCTGTGCTGAAATTCAGTAAAATTTAAGAGCTCTACAAAATATTTTTCCATTCCAAATTCTAATGTCCCACACAGCAAATACCAACCCCCTCTTTTTTAAAAAAGAAAAACCCATAAATACAACAGGTGGTTTTGAACCTTTAATAAAAGTAAAAAATGAATGCAAAAAGAACACAATATTGAAAACTTAGTATGAATGTGAATCTCACTAGATGTTCAAATCTGGTATAGTGCAAATTTTGTTCATACTATTTTACATTTTTACAAACTCAAATCACTTTGGTTCATATATTTGTTATAAACTATTGGCAAAAAAATTCTTCAGATTCACATTTTTTTGGCTATATTAACAGATATAGAATTACTTCCAGTTGAAGAAAAAAATACTTGTTTGTGCATGATCAAGTATATTTTAAAGATTCACCTACTGTTTTCATCTAACAAATTTTTTCCTAAAATACTGACATCTTCATTGAAAAGTTTTTTCACATAACTAATCATTTGTTTTCATTTTCAGAAAATGTATAAGGGATCATTCCAAAGTTCAGAATGATCCCATTTTCTTTTAAACAAAATTCCTCTAAAACAAATTAGCTTCAGTAACCTAAAATTTACTCCAAGATATTTTCCTCAAAATAAAATAAAACAAACAAAAAAAACCCAACAAGGATCATCACATAAATGAAACCAAATACACACATCAACACTCACGGGCAAGTTAGTACAAGTTTCTATTCTGCTGACTGGTGACTTGTATTTAAAAGGAGTCTTTTAATCAAGCCACTTTCACAGAATTAAAAAAAAATCAAAAACACTTAAAATGCAAACTATAAAAAGGTAAATTTGTAAGTTAAAATTACTAAACCCACAAAACTGGAGTATTCAGAGTACTAGGGTTCAGTGGAGGGTATATGGTATAACAATAAAGTAACTTCACAACTCAAAAGAAATTATTGCTGAGTTTAGCCTCCGTGCAGCACTGAAATGAATGGAGAACCCTTCTCTTGAACATCTTATACATTAAAAAAAAAAAAGAAAAATAAATATTTAGGAGAATACAAGGCTCAGATTGGTTTTCATATACATTGCACTTGAAGTTTAAGACCCAATACTTGCAAATCAGGTCTAACATGGTCTATGCCATTAAATGAATACATTGTGCTCACCAGTATCATGGAATATTTAGAAACACCACATGTTTAATGTAGTGACATATGCACTCTTCTTTTTACAAGGCAATCATAGATTGCAGATTCCATAGGGCTGTGGAAAAAGCAGTCATCTCTATTCTGAAGTAACAGAGAAACAAACGCTTTTCGCTCACTAAGACTGAAACATGCAGCAGACAGGCATTCACCCTCGGATGATTACGGATCTTGGATAAACCCTCACGAGCTGAGGTGAAGACGCCAGTCTGTCACAGTGCACACCTGTGGCTTTTCACTGCCTCTTGCTCTCACAGTGAGATTGTCTGCATGAGGTCCCGCGGGTGGGAGAGAAAGCACAGCTCAGTCAATGGTGGTGCACACGCGTGGGACCGGCCACGGCAGCGTAACGGGAGCGTGGCCTCCTCACCCTCCCTGCTGCTGCCTCTTTTCTTTCTCTTTTTTACACAACCCTATTTTAAAAAAATCTTTTGGATAAATATTATTCCTATTACACTGCACTTCATCTCTGTTAAGCACCATCAACCTATCTCCTTTGGGCACTACTGATACAAATCTGAGAGTTGGTGATTAAGTTTAGTTCAAGGCTTTGAAATATGGCAACTCGTTTTTAATAACATGAATGAAACCTAACACTTAGGAAACTGCCAACTGCCTGAAGTCCCACACACAGCCTGGGAAGGAACGTTCCAGGGTGCAGACAGGCGTGAGGGCATCAGTCAAGGCAGGACTTCAAGGTAAGTAGTCATTTCTCCACTTCGCTATTCTAGACCAGGAGAATATTTTTCCCAGGAGTCATTTGTACAGTTAGCCCAATCTAAATAGATTATTTAGGAAAAAGATAATCTTTGCCACAATCCACTATCACAGATTTTCTTCCCAAATCTTGCTTTTTGAAGACTCAATCGCTATGTGGCTTTTCAGGAACACCCTATGGTGGGAAAAGAAAAAAAAGAGGAAAGAGGAAGTTAGCACTAAACGTATAAATATTTTAATTATCAATTAAGTAGGTCCTGAAAGGTAAAAAATTAAAAATTCCCTCAACTGGAATATGATCCAGACATGACTGCGACCTGAGCTGTCACGCCTGCACAACCTTCTCACTGCACGAGCCGAGCCCACAGCTCCCTTACCCATAAGATGAGGCTAATTCTCTACCTCAAGTGAAACTACATTGCTAAAGCCCTTACATAAAGCCTATTATATAAGTGCAAGATATTGGTGAAAGTATGACTAAATTAATACTCACATAAAGGAAACACTCGATTTTATCAAAGCATAATGATGCATATGTTATGACAGGTGCCCCTAAAAGTTCAAACTTATAGCAATTTACGAAGGGTCATTAAAAAGTTCATGGAAAGATTTGCATTATCTTTTAATTCTATTTTCCTATGAACATTCTGAAGTATCCTGTAAGGAATTGCACTCTTAAAATTGGTTTGTTTATCTGGAGAAAGGGAGGCTTCTGCCATGAGCCTGAATATCTGACGCCTCCTAACTTACCCTACCAGCAATTTGTTGAAACATATTTGAAATAGGTTATGTTTATATAAAAGCAAATAACTGGACCTTAAGTTTACACAGTTTGAAGTTGGGAAATCCCTTCTGCACAATCTTTCCCCTCCACCCTCCCACCAGCCTGTGAGGTGGAGCTGCAGGCACTCTTCCTGCCGGCGCTGCGTGCTGAGTGCTCACACAGCATGCAGTTCCTTCCACTGGGGAAGGGCAGACCCAAAGAGACAGAATGACTTTCCTGAGGCCATACAGCCGCTGAAGGACAGAAGAGAAAACTCAGAGCACACTTCCTTCCTGTGAATCCAAGGCCTTTCCACTTCACTTAATTTCTCTCCATTTAGGCAATCATGCCTTAAGATGAAGATTACTTATCCAGAAAATCAGAAGATCTTATTTGTTTACCTGTTCACTAGTGTGCTGATAAACAGAAAGTAGAATTTTAGAGTCTATGGTCCACAGGAGACTAAAGCTAGGTCTGGCATCAGTGTAAGAACACAAACCATCACAGGGCTGAGATAACTAACAATCAGTCCAAGACGGATATAACGTGGCGTATTAACTTGTATCGGTGTTGCCTAATAGCAACATATTTAAATGGCAAGATGGTACCCTACAGTAAATTCAGGACACCAACACAGACTTCTAAACATCCGTTTAGAGGGTCAGTGGCAGGTGGGAGCTTGTGCTAAAAGGCAGCACGGGATGCTAATGAGAAGCTGGCTTTCAATTTCACCTCTGCCTCCCTGAGTTGTTTCATCTTCCCAAGTTTCAATTTCCCCACTTAAAAATAGGCTGATAATAGTCTCTATGTCAAGGTACTGTTAGCTAGTAATGGAAACGTATAGCACAATGCCTATGGACAGTGTTAGGAGCTCAAGAAATGTGCACCTTCATAACAATAATCATTAGCAGCTTTCAGCCAAAACCAGGAAAGGCAAATGAAACCCAGGCTGATGGTGAGGCAGGGCTGTGCCCCGAGGTGTCCCTGTGGGGCCTGGGCAACAGGAAGGAGCCCCATGCCTGCTGCTCTGCTGGAAGTTTGCAGCCTTACTCTCTTGAGGAGGGGCTTCAAGTGACAAACAGCAACAACCACAAATTCCATAAAATGACGGTTGTGGACTCATCATTTTCTCTTAAACACACAGGCTGATGACCGATGCTTCTCAGCTGTGGTTTTGGACCCAAAGAACAATAGCAAGTAGGGCAAACAAAAGGCCACCAGACAGAAAAAGGCTACTAGACCATTAATTGTAAGTAAACCCAGCCTGTAGCTTTTGGGCATGGTCATCCTTCCAGGTAATTACAGTTTTTGTTGTTGTTGTTGTTGTTTTTTTAAGGGAGGGAACCATAGGTAAGAAAAGAAATGGGATTTTAGGAGAGCTGAGACAGAACGAGAACAGGCAAAAAGATCAGCATCAAACACAAATCTGGAATTACATGAGCTTGGTCACATCTGGTCACGGTGCTGACCTGAGGGCCTTGCCTGAGGCTCTTGCCCTCTGGGTTTCATTGTCTTCACTCTAAACACCCCCCCTCAAAGGCTTCCATGGTGCAGTTTCAATTTTAAGCCTACATCTCTTAACACTACCCCTAAACTACCCAGCCAACTGCACTCTGTCTCTATAGTATGATGACACGGAAAGTGGGGGAAGTTGCTCTGGGAGGAAGGACAGCAGCTGACAGTGACTCCATCTCTAACACGTCAAGCAATCTCCTGGGTTTTAAGGGTGAAAATAAGCTTTCAAATTTTGAACAATAAGAGGAGTAACAGTTGGGATCCAGAGGTAAGGATTTAAATTTTTCTGGATAAAAAACATGGTAGGTGGGGTTGGGATCGGACCCCTGAAAGGCTGGTTTCATTCAGGAGCCCAGTAGAGAAGGCAGTTAAGGTGGTAATGTCTCTCCTCCAATTTCAAAATATGGTGCTAACATCCAAATATAAGTTTCTCCCCAAGTTCAAAGAGTAAAAAGGAGGAAAAGAAATCTTAAGGGAGAATTATAATTAGGTCAACTATCCTGTTTTCAGTTACCTTCTTAGGAATTCTCCACCAAAGAATACTGAAACAAAAACCTCAAAGCAATAAAGCAGTTAGGGAGCTGCCTGGCTCTACTCTGAGACCGGCGAGGAGGGCTGTACAAGGAAGGTGTCCAGCGCATGCAGAACATGCACACTTTTCACGTGCGCCTACCTGACTCGATTTTTAGCACAGAAAAGCAAAGTCCTATGATTCTCCACTAGGGGAGATAAGAAAGTTTTTTCAATGGAGTCTTCTTTGTTTTGGCAGCAGATTTGTATAGAATTGCCAATGAGCAGAAGAGGAAGAAGCTTTAGACTCAGTAACCAGTGGAACACTTTACAAATTTTACCCTTTTGAAATTACTTCTGTTTGTGAAACAGCCATGTGGCCTTCCAATTCAACTGCTCACAAATGGGTATCAGCTGGCACACATTAATGTACCATTTTAAAAATAGCATGAGGTACCAAGATAAGTTTTCTGAAAAAGGCCCAGAATTTATCACTGACAGCAATGGCTCTAGTTGCCTTTTTTTTTTTTTTTTTTTTCTTTATTTAAGCCCTCGAGTCAAAGTCAGCTCAAAATAACATTTAATTGTTTAAAATTAAAGCGTTCAAATGCCAATTTTTAACTAATGAAAAGAAATGCTAAAATTATCCTTGAATTCATTTGCCTCTCCATCTCTCTCAGGAAGCAGCTGTGTCTTGGGAGGTTGTACTTCTTTCTTTCATAAGAACAGGTGCAATGCTTGCACAGGATGATGCTCTGAATGTCCCCTTCGCTGTGCCCAGGTCCACCTGCCTGCACCAGGCGCTGGCCTGAGCCACGGTCTCAGGCTCCATCTGCCCCTGACTAGGGACTGGAGAGGCCCAGCACCACCTGCACCTGCTCTGGTTTTGTTAAGAAGAAATGAGGGTTGACAGTCACCCAGGGAGCCAAGTGACACTGCCTAAGATTACCCTGATTTGTTTGATACTGAAGGAGGAGGGATACTCATCACACATCACTCACACTAGCCACTTCAGTAACTTTCCCCTGCTGGTTCCTACAGTAGTTATGCGAATTTAGAAAAGCCATTGAACATACCTGTAATACAAAGGAGTTGCACTAGAACTCGAATATTATGACTTTACAAATCTATAAATCTTTCATAATTTAGCAAAGAATTACCTGGGTATCACTACCTATTTTTTTAATGTACACTTTTCTCAATATTGTTGTTCTTGAGTCTGAACTAGACATGTACCAACACAAATTACAATATATCATGTAAAGCAATTCTATCAATCTAAAAAAACTAAAGGGTTAGGAGATACTATGATCATTTCACTTACCATAGCTAACTGTCGTCCTATGTTTCCCACTGTGACACCTCCTGAGAAAAATATACATGGGAGCCAAGAACGAATATAGAGAAAATCTGGGGATGTATATCTAGAGTGGGGGGAGAAAAAAAAAAGATTGTGTCTTGGCAGTCAATGGCACCTGGTTCAATTCAAAGATTTTCATTAATGGGGATATACAGGATATATATTAAGCATGCAGTGCTGTAAAATATTAATATTTGAATAATGTTTTACTGCTACTACTTGTTTTTTCTTAACATTAAGTTATGGACAGTGCATTTCTAATGTGTGAGCCAAGAATAAGCAGCATTTTTGAGAATTTCATTCCTATGTCATTCTGCATACAAGCCAAATAAAATATATAAACATTAACGTTTAATGGGTGTTTCTATCAAAGTTAAGTAACAGTTTTACAAAGTCCACATCTGAAAACACACACTTACTGATAGACACCATTATACACGAGAAACTGAGTGATCAGAGTAGCAAGAAAAGCTATGGTGATCCCAAGCCCAAGGCCACTTCTTGAACGATCAAATGTCCACCAAAGGCCCAAAGAAAGGGCTGCTAAAGTCAAGGACAGCTGAACATTATTGGCAAAATCCAATTTCTGGTAATGCAAAAGTTAAGGATAAGAAACATTTAAAAAAACTCATAAGAACTACTTGTGGTTTTTATTATTGTACAACAAAAAATTCACTATCTATAAAAACTGTACAGTGAGCTAAAGAAAGGACTTGTTGGATACAAGGTTACTGTAATGATTAAAATTACCTGAAATTTCTACCCATCGCTGAGTCAAAAGCTTTGCTGTAAGAGTAAACTTCCTAAAAGTTACTTAAAAATTCTACTGGTGTTTTGGCCATAAAACAGTATCTTTTGCTATTAAGTGATCTACAATCCCATTCTTTCTTTCTGTTTTTTGGTAATTTGAAAAGAGCAAGCACTGCCTTCATGTCTGCATTATGACATGTTGTCAGAATGGCATTCTGTTACATTACACTTACAGTTGTCATTACAACACTGCTTATGAACTGGTGATACAAATAATTTGTTAGAGCTATCTTACATATCATTAAAAGAGGGGTAGAGCAGATTTAAGGCTCAGTAACTCTAAAAATATTTTTCTCCCCAAGTTGCTCTAAAGAAACCCTAAATTTTTTGAGAACTGGTAAACTATGAACCGTATTCCTGGAAAATGCACTTATATACAGACACATAGTATATTTCATGTAGTGAATTCCATCTGTGGATGCCAGAATTTCAGGGACCTGCTGTGCCTGACCCTTGGATTTTTGTGGGCAGAGAAGCAGACATGTTCCTCCACTCAGCCTTCTAGAAAGTTGTGGCAACAAGAGCAATACTCTTGCCCCTCACCAGTTCTCACTTTGTCATAGGAACTAACTCCTCATGCTGGAAAGATGTAAGGTGGAAATGTAAAAGTGAATTTATAAAATGAACTAAGAACCAAAAGATGATTGTCTGAGATAAATAAGTTCACTTTATCTCTGGTATTATTTCAACTATTTCCTGAAACAAACTGAAAGGATACTAGGTCCTGTGCCTTAAAAATCCTACTAAGTGCAGGGCTGGCCAGTTAGCTCAGTTTGTTAGAGCATGGTACTGATAACTCCAGGGTTCGATCCTTGTATCCACCAGTTGCCTGCCCCCCAGCTCCAAATCCTACTAAGTGTTAACTAAAAAATATACTTTAAAATAAAATACTTGGATGAGTTAAATATTAAGGACTCAATATAAGTAACAAAGTGATTCAACGTATAACCTAAGAAACTCCTCTGGACACAGCACATCAACTTAAGGATACAGCACTGGCATGGTTAATGCCAACAAACACTGCTATGCAGCGCATGACACTGGCCCACTCTCTCTTAAACTTGTGGGGCTCTCCAAGGTGACTGTCGATACAGGGGTACAGCAAGCCGACAATAGCTGTTAAAAAATAACAGTGTTAGTATACACCAGCTTAAAATTGTACAATTTCTATGTGGTAATTATTAAAGTATTCTAGTACTCAAACCAGCTCTTTACCTAGAAAGCTTATCAGCTACAATATATTTAAATCGAGACTAATTTTATATTTTTATTCTCTTTGAGTACCATCCTCCCAACCACAGTTTGAAAAGTTTAAAAACATCACTGTTATTTGCTTTAGTTAAAAGTATGTCTCAGTAAACATAAAAATGAATTGAGCAGGGAATATAATTATCCATATTAATATGGATAATATTTAACTTGATAATACTTAATATCCATATGTGCCTACACAAAACTCAAATGACTGCAGAGTTCACCTTCCATTTTCACCGAGAGGATTCCCATTTCCCATTGAAACTGTGAGCATCCATGAGTGCACTATGGCCAGCAGTCACATTGCAGGTGACATTCCTGCCGCTTCCAGCACTTGGCCTGGCACATGATGAACACTCACATTTCTGCTGATCTGACTTGGTCTGGGTCACATGCCCAGAGTGGCCCTGGGCTTGACTTTTCAGGGGCTTCTGGCATGTGCTCTAGGAGACACTGAGCACCTGCTATGGTACGTGCTGGATGAGGGACTCTACACTAGTTTCTCTATTCTTTAATTGGTTCCTGTGGACAGAGCACCGTGCCAGGAATAGAAAACTCAGCCTTTAGCCCCAGTTTGCCCTCTGATGGGACGTGCCTCTTCATGTTTGTTTTCTCATGTGTAAAATTATGAGGATTATGTAACTGGAAGACAGAGAAGGAAGAGGTCACTGTGGTCTGGAACAGTTAGGAAGTCTCCACAGACACGGAATTTTAAAGAGAATGTGGACAGGTGGGTAGGTACAGCATTGCAGAAGAGAAGCAAAATGGCAAAAACAAAGACAGGCATGAAAGAGACATAGTGGCGGCGAGTGGACACAGGCCTATGGGGACTGGACTGCGGGACAGAAGGTTCACTGTGTAAACTGCACCAAGCACTGAGGCTCCCAAAGGCCATGCATGGCTCACCTCGGTCTAGAAAGGGCTTCCTCAACAGAGAACGAGAGTTCTAGCTGTGCTTAGCTAAACACTCCGATGAAAATTTTTCAGCTTTTAATTTCGTATTACATTTAATCAAGTTCTACTTGCAGAGTTTAGAAAAACGGAAACCAAACAATTCTATAACTTTACTTCACTATAGCTTAATGTTACCTTTTAAGGATAAAAGCTAAATAGGTAAAAAAAAAAATGTACTATAGAACTTTTTCCTTATGCTCTTGGCTGATCGTTAAGAAAAAAATTAGGAGAAATTGTTTCAGATATTCTTGGAATTCCTTGAAGCTTCAATTACAAATACTGAGAGCTAAACTAAAATATTTCACTTTCAAGATCAAGCTTTTGTTTCAAAGAAACTTTTGTGCCAAATGTCCATAAAAACTGAAATTTCAAATCTAGATCTATTTCTCAAAAAGAAGTCTCAATACACCTAAGGGGTTTAAAAAACAAAAGTAGGATCCCATCTTTCTGAGAACAAAGATGAAAACATTCTATCCACCGCTTTATAATCAAAAATCACAGTGTCCGTCAGATGACACATGTCCTAGCCAGAATACACAGGTCTGTCACAAGACTCTTTCCTTCTACTGTTTTAAGTGACTCTACCAAGCTGGGCGGTGGACACACCTATGCTGTAGGGAGACTAGGTACAGAGCTATGAACAGCTGGGTGGGTACCTTTGGAGTTTTTACTTGACCTCTCTGATTCAGTTTCCTTATCTATAAAACGGAGCTATAGCATTTTATTGTTTTAAAGAATAAATGAAGCATAGCATACAAAGGCCATGGTAAGCAGTCACTGTTAGCTACAAAGCAAATAGGGTACTTATCATACTGTATTGTAGTTACTTAGACACATATTTGTCTTCCCCACCAGACTATGGGAGCCTAAGAATAGGGGCTTGTCCTGCTCACTTATATTTCAATAGCTTGCAGAGTTGAGGCTGCAGAAAGCACCTGACAATGTTAAACAAATGCTGTGTAACTAGAGAAGTTAAGTGATGTGCTGGGCCAAGATCAATTCAACATTTTTACAAAACCAGCTTAATAATAACCAAGAAATTCTACTATTAAAAAAAAAAAGGCAGCAGTACACCTGTCCGTGGTGTGGACTGATGCTGTGTTATGTTTTACAGCATCTGTGTGACTTGTTAGGTGAACTTAAGTCTAAACTCTCAACAAGGTGGTTACTCTTCCTTGTGTACTTAATCTATAGAGCTATGAGTTACAGGGAAGGAGGCCTGGCTTTCGGCCACCATTCCCTTGGCCATCCTGCAAAAGGAAGTGCTGAGAAGTTACTCCCTTGGCAACCGCCTTCTGAGCACACGTGACGGATTTGTTTTCAGGCATCTAGCAGAGTAGCATGTTTGCTGGGGCGGCCAATAGCCACGGGGCCTTGCCGCTCACCAGTTCCGCAGGCGGCCAATCCTGGGCAGCCCGCTCTAGGTGACAGCTGCAGGCCGCGCTCTGTACTGTCCCCGCCAGCTGAGAGGGAGGAGACCTCACTCGGCCTGGCACAGCGTCTGCTTAAACAGCCAATTATCTCCTGACCTCATCTCCATCACCCGCTTCCTCAAACTTCCAGGGAACTGTGGTTTAGACTAGCCCATGGGGGCTCCACACCCCGTGCCCCTCTCGGAGCCCTTTCTCTAAGTGACACAAAAACTGCAGACGCACGGTCTTACGCTGTGGATGGTCCCACTTTCAAACAAGTGCTTCCGATAGGCTGAAAAGCGTGCTGAGCCAGACAGACATCGTTCTCACTTCTGCAAGAACAGGGAAGGTACTCACCGGCCGCTGTCCCGCAGCAGGGGGGGACCCACCAGGCAGAGGAGAAGATGGTGGCGATCACCTCCTCGGGGAAGAGGGTGACGTTCCTCTGGATCTGCAGCAGGTTGAGCACGAGGGCAAGGACGACCCCGACCGAGAAGAGCACGAGGCTCCTCCGCACCAGGTGATGGTGCCAGCTGCTGGCGTGGCCACCGCGGCCCGCAGCGCCGGGACCCCGGGCTGAGGGGCGGGCGTCCGGGGCGGCGCGAGCCGCCGGCGGGAAC